CTGGTTACAAATAAAATAAACTCTCCAGATTAGAGTGCAACAATGTTAAAACACCTCAATCTCCCATGCAACCAGACTGAAAAGTCTGAGTCCAATACAGACACAGTCCATGATTGGTGACCCACGTGTGGCACTGGTCTCATTAGATTCAGCCATTAAAGCGTAGAACAAACCAGAAGCCCATTCCCAGGCATTGATGTATTAATTCGTCTGTCACTGATTTGTTTTATTGGCTGTTAAGCAGGCGGCTCGTTGATCATTATGACTGCTTTCATTACAGAACAGCCTGCTCTGTGTTCACAGTCTACACTGAATTATTAATGTTTTTATAAACTGCAGTCAAGACGAACAAGGGAGATAAATAAAATTAAGTCTTGGCTCTCAGAGAGAGTGTGAAGTACTTATTTGTGGTCACAGTACATGAGCTTAAATACAGTACAGTATGCTGGCTTCTGCCTGAAACAGTTTTTGATCATTTGATCCTGTTCTCTTGTTGCTGATTAGTGGGTTTTGCTCTAAAGGCCATGACTTGAAATGAAGCACACACTCTACCAGTATATATTTTCCTGACAGAAGTGTCCTGTGAGCTTTATGACGGTGTTGACAGTTAAAAAGCACATCCTTAGTTTTGTAACTGCTTTTTTGGTTTGTTTTCGCAAAAGCTGAGGTGCTTTTCTTACCATCGTGATTCAAACACTTTCAAAGACAAAAATATGTCCATAGTTATTTAAAAGGAACAAAAAAAAAAAATATTTTCTTTTTTGAAAAATATTCAAACTGTGTACCCTTTTCTGTGCTTAAGTACCTTGCCTTTTATTTATTTATTTATTTTAGCAATTTAGCAACATTTTATCACTAGGGCTCCTATCAATAACTGTGCTGCTATTAATTACTTATCCTGAAGCTGTTACAAAACGGTGCTAGGATGGACAGACGTGCTGTTGGATTGTTAACTGTGCAGCTAAGAGTAAACATATCTGGTGTTTACATAATTATAATTTGCTTTTCCTTGAGGACAGATGTATAAAAGATAGAAACTACACAGTAGATGTATGACCTTGGTCCAAAGGCTTCAGTGAGTTACTAAATAAGTTCCTGTAAACTTATTTGTACATTCATAGCAAAGGTTTTTTATCATTTGTGTAAACGTTTTTCCATGTATCCTTTCTTCATTGCCATTTGTTTTGACTAAAGTATGACACTTTTTGCTTATTTTACACCTAATTTTTAGCTTCTAATTTTTATTTTGTAACGCTTATACCAGAAGTATTCCTGTCGGTTACACATGCAGCTACATCTTCTATCATCAATAACAACGCCTGTGACGTCACACCCCGTAGCTTGTATTTGGGTGTAGAAGAAATTGTAGGGCACTTTATGTGAAGGATGGCAGAAGAGGGCAGCAGCTAATTAAACCCGTAAATTCTCAGCAGCAAATGTAAGCTCTCACAGAGATGACGAAGTGGATGTTGTGAGGTGGTGGTGCTTCATCATAAACATTTATGGCCTCGTTAATAAAGCGATGACGATGTGCCATGGGGTTTAGTAACTCACTGAAGCCTTTGGACCGAGGTCATACATCTACTGTGTACTTTCTATCTTTTATACATCTGTCCTCAAACACTGTGGGCTTTGATCACCAGGAAGTCGTGACTAATTGTGTTTTAGTTGGGAACATCTACTTATCAGCTCATAATCAGGTTAATATGTTTTGACTCACATATCAACAAAGCCTCTATGAGGTGTGGATACATTCAAGAACTACAGAGAGGTCCTCTAACTCCACCACACAAATGTAATGCCGCTGTGGCTTTATTAAACTGGGATTTGGCAGAGTTTTCAGGGCCCTGCTGAGAGTGATTTCACTCTGTACAAATAGACTGAACTGTGAGAGCAGACCTGAGAAAAGTCACCAAGATGTGGCCGAGCTGAGAAGTGGAAATTGTGAAAAGGGAAAAAGTAAAATGTCTCATTCGTTCGTTTATTGGTTTTTCCACTTTAACCTGATGACTTGGTATATTGGTGCATTATCATGAAATACAGTTAGAAAACTGAATATAAAACCTAAGATATAAAATAATATATACATGGTAAAGAATAGATTTAGAAAAAATTAGACGCAAAAGTCATGATATTCTCCACACTGTTGATATTATTATTATTATTATTATGTAAAGATAATTATTTGCACTTCAAGGCCAACCAGTATGTGTGTGGTGACAACCATGTGAGAAAAGCTCAATCAATTAGCCATTTCTGACGATGCAGTACTGTACGTTGAAAAAAACAAAAACAAACATGGTCTGACATATAATAAACCACAAGTGAGAAACCGATTCCTAAAATCAATTCTAGCAGCAACCCATTCACACTTGATTTAAAACACTGTAATTCTTACAAAATTGCTATTCTGATTAAACAATAGACATGACAGCGACCAGTGCAACTCAATGGATGGATTGAATTTTATGTTAAATGAGAATGTTGCTAACTTCTTCTCCCTTTTCACATACTATGCCAGCACAATTACATGTGTTTAAAAGTCACTATAAGCCAATGAAATACAGTGAGTTATTACCTAGACATAAATTACACAAGGCTTCGCTTCATGACAAGTACAAATGGCTGACGCCGAGTTTTCACTCAGATTCTTCTACATTTTCTCCTCATTGATGACAAGTGCCTTTTGTGCTTAATTAACAACACAGTGTTCAGCAGTGGACTGCACAGACGGTGTGTTTACTCAGCCCTCTCTCCAGCTGACTGATCAGACCAACTGTCTGTTTAATGATGCTGAGCCCACAGAGTGAAGCAGAGTGGTTATCTGCCCAGTGGTAAGAATCGAGAAAGTATTAAGAGTCAAAATATGATCCCAAGTCTGAATAACAAACACTGCAGAAAAAAAGTAATTCTCTTCAGGTACAATGGTAACATTTTGACAGGACAAACCTGTGAATAAACTATAGGTGTAAAACCTTAAAAGTCAACCAAACAACTTTTTTGCCAGTGTTTAAATAAATAAAAGCCAACAATCATCATCAACAACTATCAGAACTATCATCAAAGGTTGTAAACCCCTCCCTCACCCGTGGACTGCTGGGATTGGTTCTTGCCCCCTTGGATGACTGAATCTCCTTTGTAGAAATTAACTCTTTTAATGCACTTCATAATGTGTGGATCATTTTAGCTCGTACTCCTACTCTTACTACTACTCCTACCATCTACAACAATGCACAGATATATGGAAGTTATTCCCAACATGGGTTCCACAGCACATACTAGAGAGTACAAGGAAACAGTATCTGAAGTGAAGGATGGCATGGGCGGTAGTTTTCTTGTTTAATTACAGTTTTATTTAAAAAAAATCTGTTCTGCAATGTTCCCATCACTATGGCAACCATCCACCACTGTGACTCAGGTTTAACGTGTGAACACCATGTGCAGCGAACCAGGCTATGAAAGCCACTGAGTAAGTGAAGAAGAAAAGTGACCAGGAAGGAACAGAGCAATTCAAATTCAGAGGAGACTAGGACTGGAACAATTTAAAAAAACATTCATAGATGATGCAAAGAGACAGCTTAAAAGAAAGAGGAAATGACGACTATTTTCTTCACAAAAGGAAAGACAGATGATGATTCCCGACTTTTTTCACCTTCTGTGAGGCTTTAGAAACCCTAATCCTGCAGATGACTGCGTCACATGCTACAGCCTCTATTTTGTAGTGAAAAGGTCTGACCCTGAGCAACAAAAATCAAATGATTCTATTGTTTTACTTGTAAGTGTGCTCTGAGCACCGGTGAATCCTGGTGGTGGGGGTGATTTGCTTTGAGCCTCACTGAATTAAAAACTTAAAAAATTACAACGTGTCACCATGTCTATGAAGATTCTCAGTCATCCAGGTCATGGTCAAGTTTGAAAGTTCTGTTAGGTAACTGGACGTGAATTTTCTAAAGGAAGATGTTTCACCTCTCATCCAAGAGGCTTCTTCAGTTCTAACTGGTGGTGGGGAGTACAGCAGATATATACTCTAGGTGTGAAAGAATAAAGCTACTTCAGCTCCACCCTGTTGGGTGGGGCCTTGGGGTCAACTGTGAAAGTGTAAACAGTTGTTAAGAGTCTGATGGGTCTTTGCAGTCCCCATCAGAACGGTTTCGATCACCTGCCTCTTTGTTGTGTGAAACTGAGGAGTATCTTTTGGATATTGTTCCTAAGAGTGCTCTGTATGTGGGTGATAGGTTGTGTCTGAGTCCACCTCCTCTGTTGAGGGATGGTTTTTCCAGGTTGACAAAAATGGCTTCTTTCACCCCTCTCTCAATCCATCTGTCTTCCCTGGCCAAATGTGCACATTGTTGGCCTCAAAGGAGCGTATTTTGTCCTTGAGGTGTATGTGAACAGCTGAGTCCTGTCCTGAGGAGTTGGGCCATGCACCTGTGTAGCCGTTGTTTGGTCTACCTAATGTACAGGTCCGTAGTCCTCGCACCAAATGGCATAAACCACATTGTCCAGCTTGTTCAAACAAGCTGGACAATTTGGACAGATGGATTGAGAGAGGGGTGAAAGAAGCCATTTTTGTCAACCTGGAAAAACCATCCCTCAACAGAGGAGGTGGACTCAGACACAACCTATCACCCACATACAGAGCACTCTTAGGAACAATATCCAAAAGATACTCCTCAGTTTCACACAACAAAGAGGCAGGTGATCGAAACCGTTCTGATGGGGACCACTAAGACCCATCAGACTCTTAACAACTGTTTACACTTTCACAGTTGACCCCAAGGCCCCACCCAACAGGGTGGAGCTGAAGTAGCTTTATTCTTTCACACCTAGAGTATATATCTGCTGTACTCCCCACCACCAGTTAGAACTGAAGAAGCCTCTTGGATGAGAGGTGAAACGTCTTCTTTTAGAAAATTCACGTCCAGTTACCTAACAGAACTGATGGCATAAGACTGTGACACAGAAAACTTTAAAAATATAATTTTCTCAAATAATTCAATACTTGATGACAAAATTGATTTTCTAGATGTATTTGACTCTCTACAAATGCTATATGATGATATAATTTGTATTAAGGAGACAGGTCATACTTTTTGTTTTTTCACCTACTGTAATTGAAACACCAAATGACAAGTGATGTTTTCTTTAAATGCAAATCATCAAATGGGTTATATTTTAAGTGTTGAAATCCACAAAACCTTGGTCTCCCATCGTTGTTATTGCAAGAAATCATTCAAATTCCCATGTAAGGATTACTGTGGTTTTCTTACGACAATTGCTCTTTGGTGTAAAAACAACACTAAATGAAAAATACACTCTCTAGACCAGGTGTGGGTAAACGTTTTGACTCATGGGCCACAACTGTCCTAAAACTGCTATTCTGTGTGTGTGTGTGTGTGTATGTTCCCTATATAAATGACAATAGTTGTGTTGTGAGCTGAACGCAGCAGACTGTTAAAATCCTAGTCTGTCTTGTGTATCTGATTTACACAGTGGGTGTCTGTGGATGAGCAGCCTCCATCTCAGCTGAGGAGCTCAGCCAGAAAATCATCAAGCCCTGGTTTCAACCTGGTACCACCCTGTAAATCAACTCCAGCAGAGGCCTGAGTCAACATTCAGTGCACCCCCCACCGCCACCAGAATATACCCCATATGTTTTTATCTTTGGAACAGGAACCATTTCATGTGAAACAGAGGCGTCTTTGTTGCTGTATATGTAGCACTTTATATGTCATAAACAATAAACTAGATTGATCAACCATCACTGTACGCCAAATTCTAGAATCACCCGTGCTCGGCTTCAATAGCTCCTTGACATTTTAGGTTCATTACCATCTCAATTAAAATTGTTACATACCAGCGGAGACCATGGGCTGCTGTTCTAATGGTTGCCCCCAAGGGGGAGATTGATGTGTTATGTTTTTGTTTTTCAAGATGCTCTGTATTAAATCATTGTAACTTTGAAAGGCTAACATAGTGTTTATAGACACAGTTTTAGATAAAATGATGTCACCAATATGTTGTTTTTCCCCTTTTCTAAGTTATGTATTTTCTAATAAATTTGTTTGGTCAAGTCATGATTTTTGGATACTATATAGGCTATTATTAGATACTATATGCATGCATTTCTGAAACGGTTGATTTCACAAATTCATGAATAAATGTTAATAAAGAGAGAAATGCATGTTTTTTTAATGTTCTGTCTGAAGAAAATTCAAATATCTTACTGAGTATTGTGTAGTATCCTCGTGTTCTTCTCTTCAGGAACACAAATTCAGAATATTTGTAATATTATGAAGACGTCTTCTCTGATCTATGACGTCATATTCTCCTTATATCCCTCTTGAACACACAATCCCAATATATCCATCCCCATTTCTGAGATGGGATGATCTGGACCACACGGTAGACTTCTGAGTCAGCTTCATCACATTCCCACTACTTCATGATAATGGTCCGAACCCGGGAGGAGAGAGGGGTGGGCGACGGGGGGCGTGGCGGCAGTGGGTGAGTTGTTATGAGAGTCACACATGGTTCACAGTCTGGAGCTGGGACCATGGAGGAGAAGGGAGAGCTGCGGCTGAAGAGCGCAACTCCTGATAAGGAGGAGACGCACGAAATTACTATAAGAACATGAAATAGAGAATATTATTTCAATGTCATTGTTGAAGTAAACTATGAACAATAGGTTGATCCGTGGCCATCAGGGCGCAGCAGACTTCTACAGACTGACTGGAGCCGTGGAGAGGATTTCAATGCGCGCGTCTCCGTGTCTTCAGTCTGTGACCTGTCGTTTTGATGGACTCTTCAGAAGAAAACAACAAAATGTGAAATAACAGCAGCATTCAGCCAGACCATCACCTGGACTGAGAGAGTAAAGTTAAAAAGTCGGGATGGACGCATTCAACGGCAGCGGGATGGACGCCTTCACTGTGATCCAACTGAATTCCTCCTGGAATCTCGACAGCGGATATTCCACTGCATCCATCGCCGGCATCGCTGCTCTCGTAAGTTTCCTCATTCTCTTCACCGTGGTTGGGAATATTCTGGTGGTCATCGCTGTGTTAACCAGCCGTGCGCTCAAAGCCCCACAGAACCTCTTCCTGGTGTCCCTGGCCACCGCGGACATCCTGGTGGCCACCCTGGTCATGCCCTTCTCTCTGGCCAACGAGCTCATGGGCTACTGGTATTTTGGGAAAGTTTGGTGCGGCATTTATTTGGCGCTGGATGTGTTGTTTTGCACTTCGTCGATTGTGCATCTGTGCGCAATCAGCCTGGACCGTTACTGGTCCGTTACGCAGGCTGTAGAGTACAACCTGAAGCGGACCCCTAAACGCGTCAAGTGCATCATCGTCATCGTGTGGCTCATCTCTGCCTTCATCTCCTCTCCGCCGCTCATCTCAATAGAGGGCGACGCTGATGTCAGCTCTCAGCCTCAGTGCGAGCTCAACGACGACACCTGGTACATCCTGTCCTCCAGCATCGCCTCCTTCTTTGCTCCATGTCTGATCATGATCCTGGTCTACATCAGAATATACCAAGTGGCCAAAACCAGGACCAGAGGCATGTCAGGAAAAAGCCCCAGGCCGGATGGTGTGACACAGACAGAGAATGGGCTGAGCAAAACAATGACCCCTCCTCTCCACGCCGAGAAAGAAAACGGTCACTGTCAGTGCCTGCCTACGCCCAGCCAGCACACTGTCACCATGGGCGCACAGACTGAGGATGGTGACATGGAGGAGAGCACCTCCTCAGAGGGAAAAGGCCACGAACCTCAACAACATGACTCACAGAGGGCAAAGAGGGTCAGCCAGAAGAAGAGAGCCCTCTCTAAACACTCCACCCGCATCTCCAGGGTCAGTAACAAGTCCATGGACCTCTTCACCTCCAGGAGGAAATGCAGGCGCAGCTCGGTGGCCAGGAAAAAGATCTCGCAGGCCAGGGAGAAGAGGTTCACTTTTGTCCTGGCTGTAGTCATGGGGGTGTTTGTGGTGTGCTGGTTCCCCTTTTTCTTCAGCTACAGCCTGTACGGCGTGTGTAGGGACTCCTGTAAAATACCTGACCCTCTCTTTAAATTCTTCTTCTGGATTGGCTACTGTAACAGCTCTCTCAATCCTGCCATCTACACCATTTTCAACCGGGACTTTAGACGTGCATTCCAGAAAATCCTCTGCAAGTCGTGGAAAACGTCCCATTAGTTTTAAAGCGGAGCAGATGCACAGTGACAATCTCCAAAAAAACCCCAAGGAGCTCTGTTTGGTCTTTGACTGCTCCTTGTCAGTGTCCTGTGGTGATCCAGTCATGAAAGTGCACCTTGATCCACTCCCTCTTTCACAGCTCCATCACTAGGATTGTTTCCATTCGAGATTTCTCAGTCCTTTTAGTGAGCGTCATGGCTTTTGTTGTTACCAGTGTGTGTAATGTACTGTACCGTGTACCAACATCAAACAAACTTTCTGTAAAATCCAGAATTCATGCACGAATGGCAGGAAGTACCTGGTACAAAAGCGTAGCTGCTGGTTCTCCTCTAGTTCACCTGCTCTATCTGCCACATCTTTGTTTCTTTGAGGGTTTTTTTTTTTACATATTTATTTATTACACCGATTATTTTGGTATAGATTTAATAAGGTGTTTAACAAAAACAAACCACGGAAGAAATGAATTGTCAGTGCACAAAAGATGCAAAGGTGAAAGAGGACATTTACAAGACAGCACAGGAGAGCTGCTGTGATGTTGACTACGGAGACAGTGTGGTCAAAGATAAGGGGCAAAAATGGAGGTGGCAGTTGTAGATGCTGAAATATTTTAGTTTAGTGTGACTAGGATGGAGCAGTGTGAGAACAAAGCTAGAGAAGGAACAGACACTGGACATACTGGACAAACGATGAGAGGAAGAGGACAAAGAAAGTTCTTTCATGCTCTGAAGAACAGGAGTGGCACTTGATCCAGTGTGAGATTTCTGATGTGGAGCAGTAAACCAAACGTTGTGAGCAGCACACAGCAGCAATTATTATTATTGTTCAACAATTGTCTATTCTCCTCTGTCTATCCACACTATGAGCTTAATGCCTGAAATTCCTCTGCACATTGATGCCCCCTACAGTCTAGGTGAAGAAACTGCATATTGTTTAAAACAAGACAACTAATAAGTTATTTTATCCCTAGATTCTGTCTTTTCACAGTAAGAGGCTTTCGGCTCAACTAAGTAGTATTCAACCAGAAATAGTCAAGTCTGCAGACTCCAAACCAATATGTTTGGAGTCTGCAGGTATTTCATTTCTGTTTTTTTTTCTTCTTAAAAATAAGAATCTAGGAGAGAAGAAAAGAAATAGAAGGTAAAGTGTCTGCCCTCTCTGAGTTATTGTGGCCCATTGTAAGAGTCAATTTTCCAGACTAGAATTAAATTATCAACAACATCATACACACATAATTTCAGCTTTAAACTAGCTGCTGTGGGAAGATGGGAAAAGTGGTGCACACTGGCTGAGCCTGTACTGGAGTCGAAGAGAAAACAAACTTTCTGCATTTTCTTTTCCTGATTGAGCAGAATACAACGCCAGGACATGAGTTCACAACTGTTTCAACAATTGAATGAACTGTTTTTTTAAAGTCA